AATACTCTTTCTTCTAGTTTACATTTCTAAAACCTGACATCACTGCTGATGTAAAGCTCTGGCCCTCCTTGCTTCACAGACAATACAGCAAGGTAGCAGAGAGCACCAGTTCTGAAATCAGATGGATTAATTGGTCAGCCTTCAGCTGCACCTGTGTGAACTTGTGTGAACTGTGTGTTACTTAAGCTCTGAAAAACAGGCACCACATGATCTACTTTATGAGAAGATGTGAGGATTTAATGAGATAATATACGTGAAGAGCCAAATATAACATCTGACCCAGTGGAGGTACTACCAACCAGGTGATTGTGACTCGTAGCAATCCAATGTGTGTCCGAGTAGAACTGTGCTCCTTAGGATTTTTTTTTCAATGGCTGACTTTTCAGAAGTAGATTACCAGATCTGTTTTCTGAGGCATCCCTGAGTAGACTCAAACCTATAACCTTTTGGTTAGCAGACAAATACATTAATCACTTGCAACATCAATGACTCTAAATGTTCCTTTAATTGAAAAACTACTCTTTCATATCCTGCTAGGCTAATACAAGCCTATATTCTCTCTGCTCTCTTCACTTGTTGGATTAAGCAAACCATTATACACCGCAGTTCTGGCCTTCAAAACTACTACCTGGAAACAAGAATTTCTCATTATTATTATAGAGATAAACATGACCCAAACTCATAATCCACATTCATCCTAAATAGAATTATCAAAATAATCCTCCCAAAATAGTGTTCTTTTCGTATCAACCCTCCCTCCTTCTTGAATCACAGTCTACTTTTGGCTTATAAAACACTACATTCTTCTAGTTTTTCTCCTCTTCCTCTCCCTAATCTCTAAACGTAAGAGTTCTTACTTCACAGTTAACTTCTCTTCTTTCCCAACTTGATCACATTCTACTCCCTGGCTTTAAATATAATTTATATGTCAAAGGGTCTAGAATTTACAGCCTTAGTCCAGCTTTCTCTTTCGAGCATAAAACTCACTGCCTATTCACTATTTCCACTTGGATGTTGCATAGGTTTATTACACTTAACATATCTAAAATTAACTCCTGATGGTTCTAAATTCTGCTTTTCTACTAATCTTTTCCATCTCTGTAAATATTACCTTCATACAAGTGATGACCTGAAGCATCATTGAGTAATGATGATCAAAGACTACAGTCTTCGGTATGGATTAAACCTCAACATAAAAACAACAAAAATCTTCACAAGTGGACCAATAAGCAACATCATGAAAAATGGAGAAAAGATTGAAGTTGTCCAAATTTCATTTTACTTGGATCCACAATCAATATCCATGGAAGCAGCAGTCAGGAAATCAGAAGACATAGTGCACTGGGCAGATCTGCTGCAAAAGTCCTCTTTAAAGTGTTAAGGGGGAGCGCTGGTAGCATAGTGCCTAAGGCACTTGACTGCTAACAGAAGACTGGTGGTTCAAACCCACCAGCCACTCCTCGGAAGGAAGATGGGACAATCTACTTCAGTAGTGATAATGCCTCGGCAACCCAAGGAGGGGTCACTATGAGTCTGGTCCGACTTGACAGCACATAACAACACAGCAAAAAAGTGTTAAGGAGCAAAGTTGTGACT